GCGCGTTCGGCGGCCGTTCAGCGTGCCTGCAGGGACGAGCGAGGGAGTATTTGGGACGGGAGGGTGCATCGCAGCATCGTTGACACATAGGTCCTCCTCCCTCCTCCTCCTCCTCCTCCTCCTCCTCCTCCTCCTCCTCCTCCTCCTCCTCCTCTTCCTCCTCCTCCTCCTCCTCCTCCTCCTCCTCTTCCTCGTCAGCGGCGTGTGTTACCGATCGCCCACGCTGATCATCCCAACATATTTCGCGCATTCCGTTCAACCGAAACCCCCGCAGAGCTCTGACACCATGGTCTGGGCATGCCACCTCGTTTGCAATTGCTCATGCCTTCCCCCTGGAAGGTAAAAGTATGAGTTACAAGGGGGTGAGCTGGACTGGGCTCCGCCACTTGATAGGTCCAGAGCGGATGTGCTTGGTTTGAGTTGGGCCAGATTGGATTGGGCTTGATTGGCTCGGACTGCGTCGAATTTGATTGCCAAAAAGTGGTGGCAGCTCCAAGTTTGGGAGAACCAGCGGCGCACGAATCGTCACGTCTAGGAGCACCAGGTGCCAACAAGTGACGACAGGCCTACGCTCGGGAGCACTCGGGACGAAATGGTGACAACAGTTCTGCGCGTGGGAGTACCAGGTGTGACAGGGGGGGGGCGAAAGGCGACAGCACGTTTACTTTCGGGGGCCCCAGGAGCCAAAACGTTGCGACTGGCTTTACGCTTTTGGTCACCAGGAGCCAGCACATGCGACAGTTCTACACCTGGGAGGATCAGGTGTCATGTCGTGTTACAGCAATTCCGCTGGTGGTGGTGATGATGTTTTTGTTGGCGAAGCATCCGATGAGGATGATGGTGCTGTTGCTGGTGATGGTGTTGGTGAGATTGGTGATCACGGCGATTGTGGTGGTGGTGGTTGTGATGATAGTGATGGGGATGCCGATGATGCTGATGATGTTGATGATACGCTAGTGATGGTGATGAGAATGCTGATGGTGATTGTGATGGTGATGGGGATGATGGTGGTGACGGTGCTGATGGCGACTACGGTGATGGTGGTGATGAAGACTACGGTGATTGTGGTTGGTGATGGTGATGGTGATGGTGATGGTAATGATGTTGAAGATGAGGGGAATGGGTGAGGTTCTTGCTCCTGCACGGGAGGGCCTGGAGGAAAATCAAAAACCCCACTCAGGGCGTGGGAGACAGTGAGGGCGGGCAGGCGTGGCCAGTCTCGAGCCGCGAATCCGACATCCGATGATGGGATGGCTGCTCCAACCGTCGCCCCACTGGTCCTCTCCTCCTCCTCATCCTCCTCCTCCTCCTCGCTCCTCCTCCTCCTCCTCCTCGCTCCTCCTGGTCCTCCTCCTCCTCCTCCTCCCGCCGCCGCCCTTCCTTCCCTGGGGAGGGGGGTTGTTGCTTTCGTCCCGGAACCCGTGCCCGACGGCCCTCTGGCCCGGAAAGGGTCCCCCGATTGAGGCCGAAGGGTCCCGGCCGGGATGGAGACGGTCGATCCGCCCGGACGTTGGTGGCCCGGCATCGTTCGGGCGTGGGCATTGTTTCTCGGCGAGGGCCATCGAGGGGTATTTAGGATCAAGTCGGGCATGTCCCTCTACAGGAGGAACATTTAAACATAGTATAACAATAGTCAGGGGACGATGTTATGTTCATTCTTTGCTTTTGAATATATGTTGTTTGTTGTTGCTTTGCGTTCAAGATCCGCCTGTGGGGAAACGTGCCCGACCTGAGTCAATAGGACCATCGAGCAAACGAGGACGCACACGAAACTGCAAAAAGGGGCACGGGGAACGGACGCCCGAGCGATGGCGCAGTGGCGAGCCGCCCCGGCCCGGCGGCCCCGGTCTTCCCCCGCGGGGCGCACCAGGAGCGGAGGATCGGCGCTGATCTTCGTGAAGACCAAGAGATCCGCGGTCCAGCCCCCCGCGCGCTCCCGGGGCGTGCCTCCCGTGCGCGGCGTCGGGGGGATGTCGCCGTCGTGGTCGTCGTCGTCGTCGTCGTCGTCGCCGTCGCCGTCGCCGTCGTCGTCGGTTTTGGGGGCCTCCGGGGCCGTCTCGGGGCGTCGGAAATCCGAACAAACCAGAACAAAGTCGCTCAAATAAGGAACATCTATGATTGTTGGCTCTCGGAGCTCTCTGGGGAGGCCACTAGAAGCCTCTTGGGGCGTCTTGGAGGCCTCTTGGGCCGTCTGGGGGACGTCTTGAGCGTCTTGGAGCGATCGTTCGGCGTCAGCGACTTGGGGCCCACTTGGACCGTCTTGGGGGCCTCTTGGGGCCCTCTTGGCCTGTCTTGGGGCCCTCTTGGGCCCGACAAAGTTCCCGCGCCTCCACTTCCCGAAGCCCAGGGAGCACGCGGGAATCCCCAAGAGAATTCGGAAATCGGAGTGCGGGCCCATTAAAGATTCTTCAGGACTGAGGGTTCAGGCTGAGAGGATTGGGCCCAGGACCTGGGGACACGCCCACTCCGTGCCCAGAGGCACGGTGGCGGTTGTTTCTGGACGGGGGCGAGCTATCATCAATCACAATATAGAGTATTGAGGCCCCAGCCGCGGTTATCTCCCTCATTGGCCACGGGGGGAAGTACACAAGGAATGGAGGATGGTAGGAGCAGGAGATTGAGCAGGCGTTGGAGGAAGAGGAGGAGGTGGAGGAGGAGGACGTCGACGACGATAACAACGAGAGAGAGAGAGAGAGAGAGCGAGAGGGGAGGGACTCGCAGCAGGTTCCTCAGCACACTCGTGAGAGATGTTCGAAGTGAGGCGGATGCGCCACGCGGTTGCGCCCAATGGGGCCGTAGGTGGAGCGTCCTATGAGGCCGCGAAACGTGGGAGGGGTTCACGAAACGTATGAGAGTTGTGCCGAAATCAATTTGCCCAGCATGCGGTCGTTGCCGCTGGGAAAATCGTTGGATCTCCTGATGCGGCTACGAAGGGTATGAGGGGTGTGCCGGAATTGACTTGCGCAGCATGCTGGCGTTGCCAGTGGGGACCTCGCTTGAGTTCCCTCTAGCGCCGCGAGGCCTCTGAGGGATGTGCCAAAATGAACTTGCACAGCGCGCGGGCGTTTCCACTGGAGCCTTCAGTGGAGCTCCTTCTGGGGCTATGAATCGTGTGAGGGGTGCCCCCTGCCGCCGAGCAAACGCGCTCACTGGAGCCGTAGGTGGAACTCCTGATGGGGCCACGAAAGGTACCAGGGGTGTTCCGAAATGGGTGCGGCGCCGCCATGCGTACGCCCTCACTGGGGCCGTAGATGGAGCTCCCTATGGGGTCACGAAGCGTGCAAGGGGTGTGCCGAACTGGGAGGCGACGCCGCCATTTCGACTCCCTCACTTGGGCCGAGTGTGGAGCTCCCGTGGGGCCACGAAACGTGTGAGGGGCGTGTCGAAAGTTGGGGCGGCGCCACCATATGATTGCCCTCACTTGGGGAGTCGGTGGGCTTCCATGTGGGGCCAGATCTATACGACTGACGGGTCCGAGATCCTCTGGGGGTCTGGCTGCGAAGGCCGTTCAAGTTTGAACGGCCTTTTTCGAAGAGCCAGAAACCAGGGCCCTGTTGATCAAGAAAGGGCCGAGGACAATGCAGACGACAAGACGACGACAACCCCGACAACGCATTGACGGCGGCGGCGGCGACCACGCCGACGACGACGACGACGACGTCGTCGACGACGACGGCGACGGCGACGGCGACGACGACGACCACGACCACGACGACGACGACGACGACGACGACGACGACGGCGTCTACGACGGCTGGAGTCTGGCCGGGGAAAGGGGCACGGTGTCACACGAGCCGTCGCAAGGGCGCCCACGATGAAAACAGAGTTTCGCGCTCGGCGGGGCCGATCTCGTCCTGAACCCGACGGGGTCATCAAGTCGTCAAGGGGCTGCACAACTGAGTGGCCTTCAACTGTACGGTTTCGGCTTCGAAGCCGCGGACGGACGCCCTGGCAAAGCTCTTTACCGTGGAGCTGGAGCTCAGGGGAGAGGGAGAGATGGAGGAGAGAACCCGTCCCCGAAGGGGTGGTGAACATGAAGCATTTGGAGAGATGCGCTAAACGTGGGAGATCTCTTCTGGGCCGCCAGCTGCCCAGACAACCGGTTGGGTGATCGGGCTGCCATGTCTTGAAAGCCTATCGCTTCCCCGATCTTCTGGGTTGTCAGTGTATACCTCGTCCAGCAAGGAGAGTGCGCTGGATGCCCCCAGCCCACGCGTTCATTCTCGAGGGTTTCTGATGAGCGCATCTGGCAGACGGTCCGCGGAAACCAGCGGCAGGGACGCCGGCGGAGTCCAGCGGAAGTGACAGCAGAGACCCCAAGGGAGGTCAACGCCCGTGCCTCGACCCACTGCCCAGCACAGCTGCGCGGCATCCCAGGCGAGGGCGTGCGTCGGAGTGCGAGGGCCAAGGCTCTAGGCCTCCCAGATGGGGTCTGAGTGGAGGGGTCGGAGGATCGTGCCGCATCGCCGATGCATCGGCGATGCGGCTCGATGTGTAGCCCGGATTTCTCAACGCCGGTGTCGCAGGTGCATCGGCGACGCATCCCTCGGCGATGCGCAGGGGGGGGCCCGGGGGGGGGGGGCGGACGCGCCCTGGAGGCCGCCCGCCGCGCCGCGGCGCGCCCCGCTGTAGCCGGCGATGTGGCGCCGCTCCGCCTGGAGCCCGCGGGCGGGCCGCCGGGTCGCGCTGCGCAGCGCCCACTGCTGGCGCTTCCGGGCGCTGTCCCCGCGCGCCCGGGGTCCTCGCGGCGCCCGCGGGTCGGGGCCGGCCCCGCCGCGGCCGCCGCCCGCGGGGGGCCCGCGTGCCGCGGGCCGCGCAGGCGGCGCCCGAGGGGGCACGCCGCCAGGGGCGCGCGCGCCCGAGGAGGGGCCCCTGCAGCACGAGCTCGTGAGCGAGCTGGTGGCCGAGTGGCTGCGCCCGTGCCTGCGGAGCTGCGGGGCCTCCCCGCGCGGCGCCCTGGCGAGCCTCCAGAGCCTGCGGGCCTGCTGCCGCACCAGCGGCCGCGTCTTCGGGGCCGCGGTGGCGGGCTGCCTACACCGAGTGCTCGTCCTGCACCCCGATGCGACGGCGCAGGCGCAGGCAGCGGTCATCCTGGGTCGAATGCCGAGCCAGGCCGCTCCGGCCATCCCCGACCTGGCCGCCCGCGCGCTGGGCCGCTGGGGGGGCGGCCCCGGTGGCCGCCCCGAGCTGCTGGAGGCGCTTCTGGCCCTGGGCCACCTGAGCGAGCGCCACCGTGCAGCCCTGCGCGGTCTCAGGCGCGCCCTTTCCAAGGGCGGCGCCTCGCTCCGCGCCAGGACCGCCGACCTGCTCGGCAGGCTGGGGCGTCCGGCAGCCCCAGCGGCCCGGGCGCTGTCGAGGAGGCTGAAGGATCGCTGCTTCACCGTGCGCGCGGCGGCGGCCCGGGCGCTCGGGAGCCTGGACGGCGCCAGTGCCAGCGCGCGCTTCACGCCCAGGCTGGTGCGCGCCCTCTCCGACCCCAGCGAGGACGTGCGCGAAGCCGCGGCCGAGGCGCTGGGCCGCTGCCTGCGGGGCGCAGAGGCGCGCGGCACGGACGGCGCCGACAGCGGAGCCGCCGCCGGGCTCGTGCGCGCGGCGCTGGGCGACCCGAGCGCGGCCGTGCGGCGGGAGGCGGCCCGCGCTCTGCGCCGCCTGCCGGGCGCCGCTGGAGCCACGCTGGCCGCCAGGGGTCTGGAGCGGGCGCTACGCCGCAGTGGCGTCACCAGGAGCCACGCCGCCAGCCCCCTGTCGAACCAGAGGAGGAGGAGGAGGAGGAGCAGGAGGAGGAGGAGCAGGAGGCGGAGGAGGAGGAGGAGGAAGGAGGAGGGGAGGCGGAGGAGATACGCTAAAAACGCTGCGTCTGCATTCTCTCTTTTCGCGCGTTTGGCTCCTGGGAAGGCCCTGTCGTCACGGCAGGATTCGCCTTGAAATTATTAGTCAGAACGCACCCAGGATGAGGTCCGGGGAGGAGAGTTTGCGGTATCAATTTTGTTTTTGGTTCTTTAGAGGAGGAGGGAGGAGGAGGAGGAGGTAGGAGGAGGAGGAGGAGGAGGCGGAGGAGGAAGGCGGAGGAGGAGGAGGAGGAGAGGAGGGGGGGCGGCGGGGGGAGGAGAAGGAGGAGGAGGAGGAGGAGGAGGAGTGCAAACCCAAGACTCATCAATGATGTTGGGATAGACCCTCTCTCCAAGCTCCCTCTGTATAGGCCCCATACAAGGCTTCTCGCCCACCGAGGGAAGTGCCCCGTCGGGAGACAACCGTGTGACGGGTCAACGCCACGAGTCAACGTGATTGTTGCGTCCTGCCGATCCTGAATCGTGCCAGACGAATATTCCTTGGACTTCAATGCCGCGAATCGAGTAACTGTTACGTCCTGACGACCCAGAATATTTCGAAAACGCCACTTCTGGAATGTCATCCATGGTAGCCCGCAGAACTCTTGTACTGTTAAAACGGATGGGCGCGTTGCTCAGGCGAGAACCACAGTTTGAAAGCGGCCTTCAAAATGTGAAACTCTAGCGACTTTGCAAGAATGAGCGCGACGCCAAGGCGAGAGCCACATGTTGAAAACGACCTGCCCTCGTTCCGTGGACATCTTGTTGTTTTGACACAGAAAACGAATGTGCGCATCGCTACTGCGAGAGACACATTTTGAAACCCACCCGCCATCAAGCCGTGAAACTCCTTGCGAATTCTTGAAACGAATGGCGCCGCGTTTGGGCGAGAGCCACATTTTAGAAGCCACCCGCCCTCAATCCGTGGAGCTCTTGCAAATTCTAGACGCTTCGCGTATCCCCACCAGCCCGTCCAGAAACGACGCCCAGGCGAGTAGAGGGTCGTCCTGAGGGGCTTTTCGGCGTCTTGGGTGCCTCGGGGGGGCCTCTGTGGGCCGTTCGGGATCCTCTTTGGGGCCTCCTGGGGGCCTCTTGGGGCCTCTTGTGGCCATCTTGGGGCCTTTGGGGGCCTCCTGGGCGCTTCTTGGGGCCTCCTGGGCGCTTCTTGGGTGCCTCTGGGGGGTCTCTTGGGGCCTCTTGGGGGTATCTTGGGGGCCTCCTGGGGGCCTCTTGGGGGGCCTCTTGCGGCCTTGAAGGACTGCTGGGCGCCTCTTGGGGCAATTTGGAGGACTTCGGCCCGGGGAAGTGGGGTTCCCATAATATAGAGCCCCCCCCAGGCGCTCCAAAAAACGCTTCCTGGACCCTCTTGGATACGCTTCGGAAGCGCTCGTGGCCGCTCAAGGCGCTCCTGGGGCGCTCTTGGGCCCCTATGGAGCCGTCTTGAGCCTTATTGGAGCCATCTGAGGTCGAAGTGCATGCCAGCGAAAAACGTCGAGAACCCCCTCACAAAACATTGATTTTCTTAGGGTTTTTTTTAGCCGGCTTTTCGCTCTTTGGAAGCAACTAATGATGCTCTTGTGGGCACTTGGAACCGTCTTGGAGAGTTCTTGGAACGTCTTGGAACATCATGGGGACCATCTTGAGGCATCTTGCGCTATCTTGAGCCATCTTGGAGGGTATCTAGGGCTCCCTGAGGCCCTCTTGGAGCCGTCTTGGGCCATCTTGGGCGCTCCAACGCGCCGCGGAACCCCCTGTCCAGGTCAGTGGGGAGGGGGTAGGGGGAGGGGTAAACCCCTCCCCGCAGGGGAAGAAGGAGGGGTGGAAGAGGAAACGCTCTAAACCACCGACGCCCAGAGGGCTGGTGGGATTCTTAAGTCGAGTGTGCGCGGCGCTGAGGTTAGAACCACATGTTAGAAGCGACCCGCTCTCCAGCTGCGAAACTGGTCCAGTTTCTCAGCATCAGGCCCAAAAGTGGAAAGGAACTCTCAGGCGAATTACCCGGCCCTCCCTTCCGACCGGCCTCGGGGTGCGACAGGGAGGAGTTATTCATAAGGAAGAGGAATGCAGGTGGAGGAGGAGGAGGAGGATGAGCGAAGACGACGATGACCCAGATACTCTCGCGTCGCGAACAAGTCGCGACGAAAGGTGTTGATTAGGTTTCATCCTCTGGCACTGCAGGACCTTGAAACACGAGTCAGGAGGGAAATACTTTCCCAGGGAAGGGATCCAGACCCTTGGGTCGGCTACGCTGTGGGAGAAACGAAGACAGCGTCGGGGCCTTGGGAGGAGGAAGTGGCCAGGCATCTGTTTGCCCTCCTGCTACAAGGCTGCCGCAGTCCCCTTCTGTTCGCCTCGCGCTCTCACGTGCTTGTTCGTCGGACCCCAGCGAGCGTTCGCCCGAGGACCGTGTAGAGCAGAAGGGGAAGGTCAAGAGAGAAGGAAACACACACACACACACACACAATCGTCGACTTCCAGGAAGCCATGGGAAAACATCGGAAGTGGGGGTAAGACAAGCATCCAGAACATATGGAAAAAGATTGGGAATCTTGGGATGTGTGTTGTGTTTTCTCTCTCTCTCTCTCTCGCTCTGTGTGTATGTGTGTGTGTGTCCCCGGGCTTCTCTGGGGGCCGAGCCACGGGGGAGGCCTCGTCCTCGTCCTCTGGCCCTCGTCAGTGCCGCGCGGACCGCACTGTGCGGAGCCCCCCCCCACGCGCGAGCAGGGCTTCGGAGAGACCAGCCAGCCCACTGGGTCCTCCTCCTCCCCTTCCTCCCCTTCCTTCCCTTCCTCCTCCTCCCCCTCCTCCTCCCCTTCCTCCCCTTCCTCCCCTTCCTCCTCCCCCTCCTCCCCTCCTCCTCGCTTCTCGCTGGCCCTAGCTCCCGCTTCCCTCCTCGGACCTCCTCAGGCGCACCGAAGCGAACACGCACACACACACACACACACACTAACACACACACTAACACACACACACACACACACACACACACACACACACACACACACACACACACTAACACACACACACAAGCTGTGCTGAGCTTGTGCCCCGCCGCTCTCGGCCTCTCTGGCGGTCCTCCTCTGCCAGGGGGGGGTCAGGAGGAGGAGGAGGAGGAGGAGGAGGAGGAGGAGGAGGAGGAGGAGGCACCACCAGCAGCAGCGTCCCGAATCCTTGCGCGCACACCCGATTCCTATACAGCCAGACCGAGGTATCAGATCGAGGCCGGTTCGGGGTGGGTGCCCCAGTGTTCCTCGTGTTTGTTGGAGCATTTTGGGGGAGGCTACCCTCGAATGCTCATCATTTGAGCTGGTGGAGGGTCTCATGGCCTTGAAGGGTGTTCTTCTGGCCTAAGCCCGACTATATACATGGTGTCGGGAGTGGCCTCTATCTGAGACAGCGGGTCACCCCCCTGGGGGAGCCGCTCTGTTTCAGGGGCCACGGGGGCACATTCAAATTTAACAGTAAGGATGCACGGATGTCCCAGGCTAATTTTGCGTCATTGCCTCTGCGGCCTTTCTTTCGCGGTTCTCATTGGCCAGCCCTTCAGGGCGTTGGCAGTCTGCGTCTGAGGCCCCTGCGTACTTATCGCCCGTCCTTGCTACAGATTTCGACTGTAGTTGCCGGCTCCCGACCCACGTGTTCGGGGCGCCGCCGCTGCGGCCCAGCTGCTGCGATGCTTTCCGCTGACAGGGCCGCCCGCGCCAGTACGCTCAGGTCGGGAGTCTTCCGCCTCTGAATGGCCCCTCCTCCTTCCCCCTCCGCGGCCGCCCTGTCCGTCCTTCTTATTCTACCTGCACGATGGCCACTTCGCTTTCCGGTGCCCCCGTTGAGTTCTATCGCTGGTGCAGCCATTCTGCCTCGCTGCCGAGGGGAAACAGTTTGGGGCGCCGCGATGGCACGCGGCCGCAGCAGGAGGGTCCTAGGCAGGAGGAGCCAGGTGCCAGTCGACTAGACGTAAGAGTAACCTTTCGCCGAAGTGACCTTCGGTGCGGGCCGAGTGCATCGCTGGGCGCGAAGCTGCAGCGGCGGCTTGCGCGCCTGGTTCTGGCCCCCACGCGCCCCCCCTAAAGCCGCGCACCCTTACGTGTAGCCGAGCCAGGCCCAGGCAGGGAGCACCCTACGCTGGCGGCGGGAGCAGCAGCCAGCAGCAGCAGGGGCCGCCGACGGCAGCGGCGGGAGCAGGAGCGCAGCTCCCCCCACCTTGAGGAGGGGTGGGGAGCAAACGGAGGAGGAGGAGGAGGAGGAGGAGGAGGAGGAG